ACCTGGTACCTGCTAACATATACTTTTTTTAGCACCTGCTCAGTCGAGGTTCCAAGCGAGCTGAGGCGAGCCGAGAAGGTGACGTGAAACCCTGCAGGCTGCTGATTGGTCGGAAAGAATCGTCACTGATCACTGCATTGCCAGCGACAGACAGCATTTTAAAATAGTTTAGCCAGCGGTGGTTTTTACTGCCGGAGGCTCCACGCAGAGCGACTCTAGAGTCATATATATGTGATCACGGTGGGAAATCTGGAGCAGTTAACGTTAACTATCTCTTTGATATCATGTTGTTCACGGAGACTGAGAACCAGGAAATGCGGCGGGGATTTTACAATGGGAAAGCAAGCTACTAAGCCACGCCCACGGCAGTCGCTATGACGACCAGCCACGCTGAGGCAATCCTAAAATCTGCATTGGGAAACGGACGCACAGCGAGTCGAGGCGAGGCGAGTCAAGTAGGTACTGGTAATGGAAAAGCACCTTAAGACGATATCTAGTCTTATATCACGATAGATATAATATTAAAATATTGCCCAGCCCTAATTGACGTCTGAAAAAACTTAAACAAGCCCAAATCCAGTACTTTTTATGGCAGCGACAAGTGCTTTCTCAAAGTCCATGTAGAGTTTGAAATGAGCTGGCAGCTTTAGGGTTTCAAAGCATGTGGAGGACGTAGGAAGGGTTCCCCCAGAAATCTCCACTCTCAGTTCAGGAGGAAGCATCTCCCAGCCAACCCAGAATGTCAGCAGCTGGGCCAGGGTACCTGATGAAGCTAAAAGTCATAAAATGGATTAAAGACATTTAGTTCAACTGTAATTGATCATATCTATCCATGAGACATAGAAGCATTTGTAAAGAGAGAAAATAAGGTTTATACCTGTTTCAATGAACATCCTTAGAAAGCCAGTGATGCGGCAGGTGGTGTCTAAGTCAAAGTCTTCATCATCACTGTCCTCAACTGGCCATGTGATTTTTTCTAGGAGCATCTTAAAGAAAACAAAAATTGTAATTTAAAAAAAGGGAGAACTTATTTTGGTGAAGGACTATGCAGATCAAATTCTTAGAAAATTGAAAAATATCCATCTCAGTCATTGAAAATACACGTAAATTCATCAAGTTAAGTCACAAATATAACTAAATTACTGACTTACCTGGGGTGTGAACTGCATTTCAGCCATTTTGGGGAAAAGAAGTGGTACAACATCCGGCCTAGATGTCAGCAGGGGCCATACCATCACATCTTTCAGTCCCTTTCTCAACTGTTTAATTTGGCGCATGGTCCTCCCAACGACCTAAGAGACAGACCGACCCATATTACAGCCCAAATCCTTAACCCAAATTTGACAAAAGTTGGCACAGTAGGAAAAATGTTAATAAACACAATAAAGTGCTTTATAAAAATCCATTAAAACTCTAGTACTTAAACTCTCGTGTTAACATAACAAGCCAGGGTTCACAACACATTCTATAATTTCAACAAGTACAGCGATGAATTCTGTCACTTAACCAGCAGGAACTCACTGCATGGAGTAGAAGTTTGTTATGTAGCCATCTCCGATTTGTTTTGGTGACTGCCGGAAGATCCCAAGACATGGAAAGATCTGAAACTGTGTCCTTCTGTTCCGGTGTAAGATCTTCATGTTCAAGCTAGAATTAAGACCATACAAGTTATTATATCTGCCCAAGCAATATTTTTTACATGGCAAAGTTTCTTTTAGGTTACATACCAGTTCTATGATGCTCCTGATGTGCAGATCAGGACAGTCTTCTGTAACAACAGTAGCCATTTCAGGGTCCCCATTGAACAGTACATGAATTACAGCAGGACTTAGTCCTGTGACATGGGGACCATCATGCAGAAGGGTGTGGCCCAACATCCTTCCTGCAACCCGGAAGAGGTTGCTTTCAATAAGTGCCTCTGATGCTGCTGGAACAAGATGGTCAGGTTCACCCTCAAATAGCAGTGTTCGGCCCATTCCTCCTGTAAAGTACCAAGAGAGCAGGGAATAAAGTCACAACAATTAACCTCTTAAATACATTAAATAAAAATGTATGATAGATAGATAGATAGATAGATAGATAGATAGATAGATAGATAGATAGATAGATAGATAGATAGATAGATAGATAGATAGATAGATAGATAGATAGATAGATAGATATATTACATCATACTAGTGGCGATTACTTGGCCTGTGGTATTGCTGCTTGTAGAATTCACTTAAACCAAATTGTAGCCTACTCCAAAATGACTTACAGAAGGACCCCAAACCACTTCAAATTCAATTCCCCTGTATACCCTACTACAGACTTACCTGACACAAAACATTGCCCACCGGCCCTCCGCTAAACAGCACATATCCGCGTTCATCAACCACCAGAACGTACGTGTACGCGTGTGTGTGTGTGCGCGCGCATAGAGAGAGGCGGTGTAGAGTGAGTCACGACACAAACAGGTGCTCAGTCAGCGTTGCATGCAGTGTGAGAATGGCAAGCAGCAAGAGCGGCAAAAGCCAATGTGTGCTTCTTTTACCTATATATGTAACGCTATCTTTTGCGTTTATCCAAACGTCGTCAAACTTGGCACTGCACTTACTCGTGACCAGAGCAAGACACCTGTCAAGTTTGAAATCCATCGGACTAACTGAGAGACATGCGCTACAGACAGACATTTCTGCAATTTATAGATGGATTAACCTTCAAAAAATTAGTAAGATACTTACCAAGATCTAGACTGAATCCAAACTGGAGTTTGGATATGATTGTTGTCATAAAGTACCGCATCACTCCCTCTCCGATAGCAACATCACCTGAAATAAAATACTGATAATAACACTGGAAAAAAAAGTGGCGGCCTAATACAGGTAACTGGATTTGGTAACATTTAACAAGAAAGGGAGAAAAACTTCTATTGGCTGTAATTCTAGAATAGCATCCTTAATATTGATTATTCCAGATAACAAGAGTATATTGTGCACAATATTCACATACATACATATAACATTTTTATCAATTATATAATTTTGTGCATTCCATTCTCCCATTTAACAATTCCATATAAGCTACTTGAGTGGTATAAACTGTACTGATGTATTTATATTATAAATGTTATATTACTTACCAACCAGAGTACAATGAAGTGGACATGCCCATTCTTGCTGCTGTTTATATAATAAGAGAAGCTCCCGTTCCCTGTCCTCTTCAGAGTCCCTTACATCCATCTTCATTCTAAGTGGTTTCCCAGTTGCATGTTCCCTTAGCAGATTCTCTTTGAAAACTTTGGCAGCTTGAGTGGGTTCTTTAATAAGCTTCCATTCTAAACAAACAACAACAATAAAGTTATCTATTACAGAGAGACATATTGTGAGTTGGCATGTTACCTGCATATACAGATATCCTCTCACTCTACAGAACAGGAGGAAAATTCTGTTCATTTCACTGACAAAACGTGAGACCCAACATCTTCAGAACCTGTCACAACGCTGAGTTGACATAAAAACAGCACTACTAAACAACTACAACTAAATATTAGAAAAATAGAAAAACCCAGTTGCATGTTATTAATTGTCTGTAACTGTATTATCTTATCTAATTATATCCTACAGGTGTTATCTTTCTATTAACTTTTCAGTTACACACAATCTTATAGCAACACTATTGTGATGACACAAACCACTGTCTGTTTCTTTGCGATCCAACTCCTCGTTGACAATCACTGCCGGTACTACTGCACTCTCAGCTGATGTTTCAGGGCTCACTGGAACACTGTCACTGACTAGGGCTGTCTCACTATCATTTTCTTCACTTTGGCCTCCCTCTTGTTCTCTTTCTGATTCCTGCATGGGTGTCCTTGAAGTTAACACAATTGAAATGATGGTCATACTCGCTTATTTGTGTGCACAACAATAAGAGAGACATATTCCCAAAGAAAATAAATTATGCTACCCTTGCATTGCTTTAAGAAGTACATACCCATTGCAGCTCAATCTGTGCAGCTTCATCTCTGAAAAGGGAACTTCCTTCTGACAAGTGATGCAGGGGATGACTGGACCAGAGGCAGGACGTGAGCTCTCCTAACAACAACAACAAATGGCTTTTAATTAATGATTAAAAGTCACCAGTAATCTTTGTTTTGATTATGTATTAAACTAAGTCTCTGTAAATGTATGTACACAATCTAAGGGTAGATCCTGTTGAAGTGGACGTATGTAGATTGTAGCCTGTCCAATCATCGTCAATGGATCTTTCAGATAGGCAAGGGTGTATCCAGTGCTGGGACACTGAAGCAACGCAAGATTTCGACTGCGAGTAGATCCTACAAGTTTTAGAAATTCAAAGCCTCCCCCTTGTTGGAGCTTCGGAAACACTTCCATCAGTTTATTTGTTATAACCATGGGATCGTGGTCATCCCCTGGAGAAAAAAACAAAACAAAATCATAACTCACCTCACCTTAAATTAAGCAAATAAGCCTGTGATAACTATTATTGACACTATGAACACCAATTAAGTTTGAGTCACTATAAAAAGAAATGCAAATAATTTCAACAAGCCACAGACAGTACAAACTTTTTTTACTTTTGGTAAATGCCTAGTTTCGCACTGACCTGAAAATGTTACTTTTTGCTCTCCAAGTCCTGAAGTAAGAAGTTCAGCTTTAAACAGTACGCTTGGAATTTTATCCGCATTGTGGTCAGCCAAACAACAGACAGTGTGTGTGTAGCTTCTTCGGCTAACTTGGACTTGTGCTGGTCGTCTCGTCATATTCCTTCTGGCTCCAATGTTATATGGCGCAAAGAGCCTTGCTACCTCCGCTGCAACACAGAAAAACGTAACAGCTCAATGGTCACCAGTCAGCTAAAACAGCCTCTACTTCTATCTTGGGATGCTCAAGCCAGCTAACACCATTTAGCCGATTAGCGAACTAGCTAGGTTTATGCTTCCCCCCCCATTAACAATAAACGTGTCACGCACGAAGCATCATAATACCGCATGCAAATACATGTTCGAGTCGATCTAATTTAACCTACACGTGTGTCCCGAATCATTAAATAGCAGCACACCTGGCTAACATGAAATTACTTAGCTTACCTTGGACAGGTGTACGTGATTGAGCGGCCGGTATCTGCTGTGACTGAGCTGCCGGAGTCACCGGTGCCGCGGGAGCCGTTGGACTTCTGCTCAGAGCTTCCTCAATCAAATTCGCTGCTTCTCTCAGCAGCTCCGGGCAACTTTTAGACATTTTGTCCTGCACCTCACACAGCGTCTCAACATTGGGGCTAGCAGGACCGAGTCTTCTCTTGATTTTTAGCCGTTGCAATGAAAGTTCTGTTTAACCGTGTAACTAAACCAACGTAGAGGTGAATAGCGCCACCCAGTGTATTGGAATGTGTTCAGTAGCTCTGCATCAATCCATTATCCGGAATTGATTTGTCTTGGCTTGATGCAGAGGGTAACCAATCAGGCGTTAGGTTCCGCCTACCAACTTTTGATGGGTCAGTTTGACAGTTTTAAGTAATTCAGGAAGCACTCCAACGCAGGACCATGAAATGTAAATGTAAATAGTGAAATTATTATATATGTATTTTACATAAAATGAATCGGTATTTGAATTAATTAATGACACATTTAATAACACATTTATGTATTTAATTCTAATTTTAATTAATTAATGACACATTTAAGTAATTATTTAATGGTGTATTTATTTATTTAATTGTGAAAAATAATTATATATTGTGAAAAATAATTATATATGTATTTTACATCAAATTAATCGGTATTTGAATTAATTAATGGCACATTTAGTAACACATTTATGTATTTAATTCAAATTTTAATTAATTAATGACACATTTAAGTAATTATTTAATGGTGTATTTATTTATTTAATTGTGGCACTTTTAGTCCTCCATAGATATGTGTTCACCATTTCATTAGAATGTTTATCACGTTTATCACATTGAGAGTATCTGTCAGGTCAAATGACTTAGGTGAATTACATACCCACATACTTTGAGACCTTATAACCTTAGTGTCAGAAAAGGTTCATTTTCTTCATATTTTGATGATGGTTATTTTACTTAATTGTAATGTATTTGATATGTCATGTCTGTGGGTTGGTCCCATACTTTTATGAATGGCTTTTGCCTGATGCTTTTTATGGTTAGTTACCTTATACATGTATTTAGTTTGATTTCCTTATTACATTTTCATTACCAATTTATAGTACTATGCATTTTGACTGTTGGATTGACAGTCTGCTCATTCATTGCTTATAATCAACCAATACAAGTGAGCGAGTTACTTAAGACTATTGTTTAATGAACGACTCAGGTCTGATGTATACAATTGTCCCTCATAATCTCTTGTATTATTTGTAACAAACCTTCTGCATGTATTAGTTTGAACCTCCACATTATTGTCATTGTCATATATACTTTTAAGCCTGCAAATTTAGGAAGGCTATTCTGCAGAGTTTTGTTCTTGGTCACAACTTGTTTTATTTAATATATTAACATTTTAGTCATTTAGCAGATGCTCTTATCCAGAGCGACTTACAGGAGCAATTAAAGTGTAGTGCCTTGCTCAAGGGTACCTCAACAGATTTTTCACCTAGTCGGCTCGGGGATTCGAACCAGCGACTTTTGGGTTACTGGTCCAACGCTTCTTAATATTATAATATGTGTTTCATTCCTTTTATCATTAAAACATTCCTTTCCAGCATGTGGTCGTGTTTTCTTCAAATGAGACACTCTGGAGGAGAGGGAAAGATCAAACGGATTATTTATTTTGTCTTCTGTCACTCTTGTTTTCAGTTTTTTAAGTTCATGTAGAGACACACACACAAACACACACACACACACACACACGAGCCACACTAATGCTCCTGGTTTCTACAGTAGCTACTGTAGACCCTCACAGATGTGCTCATATACACAACTGTACTGAGTCTAAAGTACTGCATGTCTGTCTTTGTTGGATGTCTGATGTGTTCACCAGTAACACACAGGAAACAATGATGGTATGGTACAGTATGTGGAGGATAATGAGTTTACTGATATGGACATTTCCCATACCTTTTGTCTGTGGTAGTGATATATTATATGTAATCTTCTTCTTCATACAGATGGAGGAAGGACAGACAGACAGGTGGGCTGAGTTTCTGTGTGTAGACGGTTGATACATCGGTAGATGATGCCTCTCCCTCAGTAGTTTGCCTGACTGTACAAATGTTCTATTGTCATTAACATTAATGACATTTGACAAAGAAGATAACTATGTTTGATCTATACAGATGGATTCCACTCACATTGAAAGGCTATGCTCTAGTGTTCACCCACAGTATGTACTGAACAAAAAAATAAATGCAACATGTAAAGTGTTGGTCCAGTGTGTCATGAGCTGAAATAAAATAACCCAGAAAAGCTTATTTCTGAATAATGTTGTGTACAAATTTGTTTACATCCCTGTTAGTGAGAATATCTCATTTGCCAAGATAATTTATCCACCTGACAGGTGTGGCATATCAAGAAGCTGATTAAACAGCATGATCATTGCACAGGTGTACCTTGTGCTGGGGACAATAAAAGGCCACTCTAAAATGTGCAGTTTTGTCACACAACACAATGCTACAGATGTCTCAAGTTTTGAGGGAGCGTGCAATTGGCATGCTGACTGCAGGAATGTTCACCAGAGCTGTTGCCAGAGAATTGAATGTTCATTTCTCTACCCATAAGCCGCCTCCAACGTCGTTTTTAGAGAATTTGGCAGTACATCCAACCGGCCTCACAACCGCAGACCACGTGTATGGCGTCATGTGGGCGAGCGGTTTGCTGATGTCAATGTTGTGAACACCCCATGGTGGCGGTGGAGTTATGGTATGGGCAAGCATAAGCATAAGCTACGGACAATGAACACAATTGCATTTTATCGATGGCAATTTGAATGCACAGAGATACCGTGACGAGATCCTGAGGCCCATTGTCGTACCATTCATCCGCCGCCATCACCTCATGTTTCAGCATAATAATGCACGGCCCCATGTCGCAAGAATCTGTACACAAATCCTGGAAGCTGAAAATGTGCATACTAACCAGACATTTCACCCATTGAGCATGTTTGGAATGCCCTGGATCGACGTGTACAACAGCGTGTTCCAGTTCCCGCCAATATCCAGCAACTTCATACAGCCATTGAAGAGGAGTGGGACAACATTCCAATGGCCACAATCAACAGCCTGATCAACTCTATGTGAAGGAGATGTGTGCGCTGCATGAGGCAAATGGTGGTCACTCCAGATACTGACTGGTTTCTGATCCACGCCCCTACCTTTTTTTAAAGGTATCTGTGAGCATCAGATGCATATCTGTATTTCCAGTCATGTGAAATCCATAGATTAGGGCCTAATACATTTATTTCAATTGACTGATTCCCTTATATGAACTGTAACTCAATAAAATCTTTGAAATTGTTGCGTGTTGCGTGTATATTTTTGTTCAGTATAAGAGACAGGGCTTTGGGGTGGGGGGTTATCCCACCCTGGAGATTCAGAATTCCATTGGGGCCACAGTGGCTTGTGGGTGTAGATGTGTAAATTGAACTAAGTTAGCAAATGGAGTGACATGATTATAACTACAACTTCCCACCAAGTCCTTTAAAATATTTTGCATTTTTGATTACCTATTCAAATCAAAATGTCCTTGCGTACTTAGTGTTCATAACTCCACGTATTTATAAATCACAACTTTGAACACTTTGAACAATGAGGCACAATAAAAGCTACAGCCCATATCAGTTGTCTATTGAGAAAGTTATACCAAAGACAGTACAGTATGAAGATATGCTAAAATTACTTCTTCAATAGAAATCCCTGATTACACTTGAAGTTGATGTCATGGTAATGTTGACTTGCTAAGCTCATGCGCAGAAACACGTCATCGGGTCTAACGGTCGTCTCGTGCCAATCTGTGCATGTGCAGGCCGCCAAATCAAAGGCACTAGTTGGAGTAATAACATGTTCAAATACTTAAGAAATTAGCTCAACTCTAGGTTGTGCCTTTAGATTTCGAGAAAATTAACAACTAAGGAAGAATTTTTCACTTCTCTCATTGACTTCTCAAACCTCAATCCCCAGCTTGGTTTACTTAGTCTGCTTAGCAAGCGTTCTCGTGATGTTGCGTCTCTGGGTTTAGAAACTGTAGTTATACAGTAACTTATAACTCCTCCTGTTTTCTTACAGGAACATACTGAAGCAGGAACAAGAAAAGTGAAACCTTTTTTACTAAACCAGCAAGCAAGAAGGCAGCTCTAAACAGACTACAGACTAAAAATGTATCTATTCAGCCTGTTTGGATTTTTGTTGCTCCCGTTTCAAGGTAAAGACTAAATTGTAACACAGTATTTGCACTTTAACATTGCTACATTGCTATAAAACGCCCTGAAGGCAGAAAGTTATCTTGCTGTATTGTGTCACCTGGGCGAGGTCTGCTAGCAACCTGTTAGCCTCATACACAACCTGTTTGTCCCTGTGATTTGTTTAACTGTATCAGGATCTCAAACATTGGTAACTGCGGTATATCTCTATTTCATTTTGCTTGTGCTTGTGTTTAAGGAAGTTTGTCAGTAACGTTAAAGTAAAGCTGCATCGAAAGTTGCACTAAAGGAATGTCTTCTTCCATAGCTTGCTTAGCATGCTCTCCCATCAAGAAAATTGACAGGTTCTGTGAAGATTTGAAGACGGGAGATGAATATGTGTACCAATATGAAACTCCGGCTGGATCTGAAATTGAGGTGTACTCCAACAATGTTAGTGGAGATCTTATGTTTTTATGCAGGATTTGTACTACAGGCTTCGTCCTGATTCTCCACCCTTCCCCCAAAGTGCGCACTTGCACACATCCCGCCATGGATTTCACAATGTTGGAAAGTCCCTCCAGCTGATGTTTACATCAATCCAATGTTTTTAACCATGGTGGGAAGTGTGCAAGTGTACACTTTGGGGGAAAGGGTGAAGAATCAGCACACAGACTGTATATGTTGGTATTTGTTTTCCAGATAATAAGTACTATGTTGTATTACAAATCAGGGCTCTTTGATGCAATACCTGAATTCAATTCTTTATTTTCTTATGTGCTTTTCCACAGACTTCAATAGCCTACCGTGGATTGAACAAGCCTTTTGAGGCTAATGTTTCTGATAAAGTGATAAGAGTGTACAACAGTGCTATCATCCTCTCTGAATGCCTGAATCTGACATTCAAATTCTTTCATGTTCCCCAGGTGAGTCCTGTTAATATTTCACACAATTGATAATTTGATTGTTGAATATGATTTTATAGATACTTACTGCCACCATGTCTTCTCTTAAGGGCATGTTTGAGGAGTGCCATTTGCATTACATTGTTGCAGGTAAAGAATGATTTTCCTGTTTTCTTTCATTTTAAACTGCTTGCAGTAGCCTAGGTATCTTATAAGAGCCCATACAGACACCCACATTATTATCTTAGTTTGTCTGTCCAGAGGAGGAATTAGGTTGTGACACCTCCACGTTTTAATTTGACTGGCGACAGGTAAACTAGCGGTTAACAGCGCTGGAGCAGTAACCAAAAGGACTCTGGGTCAAATCCCAAAACGACTACGCAAAATATATTTTGATGTGCCCTTGAGCAAGGCACTTAACCTTAATGAGCAAGGCACTTAACCCTAATTTCTCTGGATAAGAGCGTCTGCTGTAAAAAATGTAGACTGACAATTCAACTGACATTTTAATTTGCAATCCGACTAACACCACGGGTGAATACTTTAATATCAGCAAACTAATATATATATATATATTTGTCACATGCGCCGAATACAACAGGTGAAATGCAACCTTACTGTGAAATGCTTACTTACAAGCCCTTAACCAACAATGCAGTTTTACTAAATAAACTCAAGTTTGAAAAAGTAACATAATAAAATAGCAATAACTAGGCTATATACAGGGGGTACCGGTACCGAGTCAATGTGCGGGGGTACAGGTTAGTCGAGGTAAATTGTACATGTAGGTAGGGGTAAAGTGACTATGCATAGATTATAAACAGTGAGTAGCAGCAGTGTAAAAACAAAGGGGGGTAGATTAATTGTTCAGCAGTCTTATGGCTTGTGGGTAGAATCTGTTAATGAGCCTTTTGGACCTAGACTTGGTGCTCCGGTACCGCTTGCCTGGTAATCCATCTGGACCCGCGGCCTTGTGAATGTTGACCTGTTTAAAAGGTCTTGCTCACATCGGCTACGGAGAGCGTGATCACACAGTCGTCCGGAACAGCTGGTGCTCTCATGCATACTTCAGTGTTGCTTGCCTCGAAGCGAGCATATAAAGCATTTAGCCTGTCTGGTAGGCTCGCGTCACTGGGCAGCTCGCTGCTGGGTTTCCCTTTGTAGTCCATAATAGTTTGCAAGCCCTGCCACATTCGACGAGTGTCAGAGCCGGTGAGTAGGATTCAATCTTAGTCTTGTATTGACGCTTTGCCTGTTTGATGGTTCGTCTGAGAGCATAGCGGGATTTCTTATAAGCGTCTGGATTAGTGTCCCGCTCCTTGAAAGCGGCGGCTCTAGCCTTTAGCACGGTGCGGATGTTGCCTGTAATCCATGGCTTCTGGTTGGGATATTTACGTACGGTCACTGTTGGGACGACGTCGTCGATGCACTTATTGACGAAGCCAGTGACTGAGGTGGTATACTCCTCAATGCCGTTGGATGAATCCTGGAACATATTCAAGTCCGTGCTAGCAAAAAAGTCCTGTAGCGTAGCATCGACGTCATCTGACCACTTCCGTATTGAGCGAGTCACTGGTACTTTCTGCTTTAGTGTTTGCTTGTAAGCAGGAATCAGAAGGCTTGAATTATGGTCATATTTGCCAAATGGAGGGCGAGGGAGAGCATTGTACGTAAGATAAGACAAAATCACTTCTTTGTCTGATCTTTGTCTGTAGAGAGGTTGCATGAGCCTGTGACAACTCCACTTTTCAATCCGACTGACAATCTGACTGACACCTCCGGTGACACATCAGGTAAGTACTCTTAACTAATATAAAGACAGCTCATTACAGTCTACTGCATCTCTATCAGTCCCAATGGTTAAAACATTATTCTGTGTCACTGCTTTGACAAAGAACGTATTCAATTGAAATGACTTTACTCTCTGATTATACTCAGGAAATGGAGACAAGGCCAAAGCCACTAGCAACACAAAGAAAATCACTGGTGAGTGTTTCCATATTGTTTATTTTGTTTGACATTCTACTGTCACCACAGCTTCGTATTATTTTTCTTCTTCATCTTCGTCTTCTTCTTTTAAACAAATACTATTTTAGTGTTTTATTGAAACCGATAGACATTAATAAAGGAGATACTGATAGAATGGAGGTGTGAAGAAGAGTAGTGGGACCGGGATTCGAAGCAGAATAGTGTTTCTATTTCCGGCAACATTCGCGCGACGCTGGCGCATGCAAAAGTGGTACTTTTAGTTGAGAGCTTGATGGTTTTACACTGACAGAACCGCACAAAATCCTAAAATCGATCAACATGACAAGCATTATATGTTCAGTACGAGGCTGTCACAATAAATGGATGAAGAGGAGGCAGTTCTTACAACAGCAATGTTTTGAACACCAACCTCTACGTCGATCTGAATGTACCAGTGGAGCCCCATACGACCTGCATCCACCTCCTATGTTTTGAACACCAACCTCTACGTCGATCTGAATGTACCAGTGGAGCCCCATACGACCTGCATCCACCTCCAATGTTTTGAACACCAACCTCTACGTCGATCTGAATGTACCAGTGGAGCCCCATACGACCTGCATCCACCTCCTAAAGACGCAGAGTCTTTGCGGCTCTGGCTCAAAGCGTTGAACCTAAAGAAACCACCAAAACATTCCTTCCACTTATCTGACAAGAAGCCTACAGTGGAGCATCCTTACCCAGAAAAATGGCTTGGCTACGATGCTCCACTGGTGAAGAAGCGTCAGGAGTTGGTCAGCCAGTCATCAGTGACAGGTAAGCCAAACGCTTGAGCAGTTTGCCTGCTCTCATTTTGTGTCTCCCTCTCGCTCTTGTATCTAAGCACGGTCACATAATAGCACAATTTATTTCCTCTACAACTCAATAACAAATTCCCATTTTATATATACTTAATTATTATGATTATTAAATCTTATTAGGAGCGTCCATGCAGTATGGTGTTTTATTGTACAGTTTTGTTGTTAATTGTCCATTGACTTGTTTAACAAGCCATGCTGAATTTTTAACAGATGACACAACAGGCTCAAGTGTTCACCAAATTGAACATGGGGATTGGCCAACACAGATAGATGGAATGGATATGCCTTCAGAGAAGGATGCCCAAACCCAATGGGAAGACCCATGTAAAGCCCACTACCTGTGAGGCAGGGACAGTGCCCAGCAGCACCTCTCTACAAAACCCTGCTGAGGAACGAAGCACTCTGTCGACTGCATACAGGCTTGTCTCTTGCTGCCTTTTTTACCCTGGTGGAACATCTTCTACTCCTCTACCAAGGCAGCTTTCAGTTAGACCTTACAGACCAACTCCTGATGACACTCAACTTGCTGCAGCAGTACTTAGCAGAAAGGTTTGGAGTTTCCTAGAGTATTGTCAGTTGAGTGATTAGTTATTGGATTGACATGATGGAAGAGAATCTGAGGGAGTACATTCCATGGCTGCCAAGGGAGACCATCCGTGCTACAATGCCACAATGTTTTAAGGACCACTACCCAGGAACAACCTGCATTATTGACTGCTCAGAAACTGCTTTATAGAAGTGCAAGAATCTGGATTCAAGGGGGGAGTGATTCAGCCATTACTACGCCCAGAACACTATCAAGTACCTGGTGGCCATTGCACCTTGTGGTCTAGTGATGTTCATCTCCTCAGCATATGGAGATAGATGGGTTCCTGGAGTACCTCTGTCCAGGTGATGAGGTCATGGCTGAACGGGGCTTCACAATCCGTGATCTGCTACACGAGAGGAAGATCAAACTAACAATTCCAGCCTTCACAAAAAGAGGTGGTACAGCTGTCAGAGGAGGACACCACATGTACAATACGGATAGTTAACATGAGGGTTCATGTGGAACGCGTAATTCAAAGGCTCAAACGACTTAGTGTCACGTTTGTTGAATGACGGGTCAGACCAAGGCGCAGCGTGATATACGTACATGTTTATTAACTTATAAACACCACGACAAAACAACAAACGAAACATGAAGTCCAAGGTAGAACACACAACATACCTTACACGGAACAAGATCCCACAACTACACAGTGCCAATAGGCTGCCTAAGTATGATCCCCAATCAGAGACAACGAGCGACAGCTGCCTCTGATTGGGAACCACACCGGCCAACATAGATCTATACATACAACATAGAATATATACAACAAGGAATATACACACCCTGACTCAACATATACGAGTACCCTGAGTCAGGGCGTGATAGTACTCCGACCGCACCACCTTCACATACCAGGGTAGGGGCCGGGTGGGCATTCCGCCTCGACCACACCCTCTCCGCCTCCCTGTTGCGCCCCTGGTCTGGTCTGGACCTTGGCGCGCTGCTTCCCCTCTCCTTCCTCCCACGATACGCCAGGCCCTGTCTGTACCCTGGTGTGGGAGACCCCGAACCTGGAGAGGGGCTGACGTCATGGTCTGGACTGGAGCCGCTGACCGGAGCTGGACTGGGCACCGGTGGAGTGGACTGCTCTGGCTCCGGAGTGGAGCCGCTAACCGGAGCTGGATCAGGCACCGGTGGAGCGGACTGCTCTGGCTCCGGAGTGGAGCCGCTGACCGGAGCAGGATCAGGCACCGGTGGAGCGGACTGCTCTGGTTCCGGAGTGGAACAGCTGACCAGAACTGGATCAGGCACCGGTGGAGCGGACTGCTCTGGCTCCGGAGTGGAGCAGCTGACCGGTGCCGGACCAGGCACCGGTGGAACGGGCACGGGCCGTGCCGGACTGGACAAACGCACCACTGGTCTGGTGCGAGGAGCAGGCACGGGCCGGACCAGACTAGGAACACGCACCACTGGCCTGGTGCGAGGGGCAGGAACGGGCTGGGCCGGACTGGCGACGCGCACCACTGGCTTGGTGCGAGGAGCAGGAACAGGCCGGGCCGGACTGGCGACGTGCACCACTGGCTTGGTGCGAGGAGCAGGAACAGGCCGGGCCGGACTGGCGACGCGCACTACTGGCTTGGTGCGAGGAGCAGGAACAGGCCGGGCCGGACTGTGGAGGCGGACTGGAAGTCTGGAGCGGAGAGCTGGCACAACCCGTCCTGGCTGAATGCCTACTTCCGCACAGTATGTGTGAGGCATCAGCACAGGACGCACTGGGCTGTGCATGCGCACTGGCGATATAGTACGTAGAACTGGCGCAGGATATGCGGGACCGAGGAGGCATATTGGAGACCAGGAGCGTTGAGCCGGCACACCCCTTCCTGGCTGGATGCCCATCTTCGCACGGCACGTGCGTGGTGCAAGCACAGGACGTACAGGACTGTGCCGGCGCACTGGCGACACAGTACGTAGCTCCGCATAACACGGAGCCTGCCCAGTCATACGCTTCCTCGCGTGAGTACGGGGAGTTGGCTCTGCTCTGACACTAGGCTCCGCCAACCACCCTGTGTGCCCCCCAAAAAAAAATTACTGGGGCTGCTTCTCGGGCTTCCTCCTCGACCGGCCTCCTCCGTGTTGCCGTTGCACCTCTCCTGCCTGGGCATCTACCTTAGCCCATGGTCCTCTCCCCGCAAATATCTCTTCCCATGACCACAAATTGCCCACCTGTGACATGGCAATTCGCTCCGCCTGGGCACGCTGCTTGGTCCTCGTTTGGTGGGATCTTCTGTCACGTTCGTTGAATGACGGGTCAGACCAAGGCGCAGCGTGATATACGTACATGTTTATTCAACTAAATAAACACACGACAAAACAATAAACGAAACTAAACGTGAAGTCCAAGGTAGAAGACACAACATACCTTACACGGAACAAGATCCCACAACTACACAGTGCCAATAGGCTGCCTAAGTATGATCCCCAATCAGAGACAACGAGCGACAGCTGCCTCTGATTGGGAACCACACCGGCCAACATAGATCTATACATACAACATAGAATATATACAACAAGGAATATACACACCCTGACTCAACATATACTAGTCCCCTGAGTCATGGTGTGACACTTAGATTCATCTCACAGACAGTGCCAATCAACCTCTCATCTAAAATGGACAAAATACTTTGAATCTGTGCTGCCATGTGTAACCTGCGTGGGGATATCATTCATGAAGATGCTGAATGAACTGACCAGTCAAATGCCATTCACAGGGTCGATTTCCCAATATATAAAATTTCTGTCAAAAGTTACATTAAATACATTTAAATTCATTCTATAACAACTCAACTTAATTATTTGTTTTACATACTCATTAATATTAATAAAAAACAAAGCCATAAAAACAATTTCCACAATACTGTGACTGTTGATGCATTAAGTCAGGCTTTTTAATTGAAAAACAATTTGTTAATAGTAACTGCAAACAGGAGAGATATCTGACTACATACTTCTACAGAGCTGCATATATTTGTCACTCAGTGACAATCTGCCTGCCTGATGCTCCTCAACAATAAATGGCAGCATGTGTGTAAAGTAGAAGGCCTTCAACCTCATGACAGCCTCTGCACAGATAGGTGCATCATAAAGAACAGAGATGACAACTTGCTGGGAGTCCAGATGAGCACCTTACTTTCTCTCAGTCTTGTGCAAAACATACCAATTTGCACCTGCATGTAGTTGCCACGTGGCCCACGTGGTTGCAGTTGGGGTGTGCCCTCCACCACCTTCACATCACAGGCTTTCCCATTGAAGACATCATCCAGAGAATCACAGCCCTTCCCCATGACAGGACATTTGATCTTCAACAGCTCCTTGGAGTTCAGCACTCCGTCAGGGCTTGCTGATAGCCATGGCTCTTCAACCCTGACAACAGTGCCTCTGTGGTCCACAGAGTATCCACAGTCTTCCAGCCACTGGGAGTCCATCAGCTCATTATCTTTCCCGTAGCGTGTGGCTGCATTCCCTCGGAACCTGGGATACAGATGCTCCTGGTGAAACTTACCAGGGTTGGTGGATTCCCTGACAGGGACCTTCTTGGCTGAGCTTGCAGTAAGTCAAAGCTTCCTTGAGTCATGCCACAAGTGTGAGGCACTCTGCTCCTTTTGTGATCTGTTCTAAAGCAGTCGACTGGGTTGGGTCAAGTTTCAGAAATTCATTGTAGGACAGGCACTTCTGGCAGTTGTAATTGACATGCTCTCCATGTGGCTGGGAAAGGGTAGATAATCTATATTAAGTTATTATATGGAGTTAGAAAGCATTGAACAGAAGAGACACACATCAGTACAAATACATTAAAATTGTACAGCTACAAATAAATATTCCTTTCAGTCCAATTTGACCTGTAATGCTACTGGCTGTGATATTATTGTCGGAATGCAGGAGTGGGAGGCAGGGGTGGACATTCTGGACACTTTTCTGCATATTGGTCACTGGCCTTATGGTGTGTGAAGTCAATGCTGTTTAACCGCTTTGGCTCAAGGTTCCTCCAAGTCCCTGCATTCCATTGTCGCTGCTCATCTGTGCAGGCTATGCCAGTTAGCCCACTGGACACTGCATTCTGCACCTGTGATAGAATGTTTGTTACAAGAAAAGACATTCAGAGAAAATTCCATTATTAACAATTGTATGACTGAGGACTATGTGATCAACTTAATCAAAACACATGCAAGTTTCATCATAAACTTACCTTGCTATTGTTGCCAATGAGATGAGACCACTTCTGCTTACCATACTTTAGAAATTACCCCCAACCCCAAGGATATTTTACAAACCTTATTCACCCAGAAAAACAGTAACACTAAAGAAATACATGTGATGCTGACATGTTTAAATAAATGTTACACCATACTCACCTGGACTCCATAAACCTACCTTGCTTCACCAACACATCTGACAGGATACTTACAGATTCCCCACATTAATACAGCAGTTCTGTTGATTCACAAATACATGTTAACATAACCAATAAATCATGACATTCTCAATTCAGCTTTCATCCAACAAAACGTTTGGTCTAACTGATATGTTAAGCCTGACTATTTTACCATTCTGTGTCTAGATAAGGCAGTATTGTGCACTTTCATCTACATTTACATTTACGTCATTTAGCAGACGCTCTTATCCAGAGCAACTTACAGTTAGTGCATACATCATTCCTTTTTATATATATATATATATTATTATTGATTCAGACAAGATAAGGTTGCTGATAACTATTTCTTACTTTGCAAATATATGTATTCTTGTGTGTTGGAAAAATGACAACCCACCCACATTTTTCAACTGTGGTTAAAACAAGTTGCAGACTTCTTGCCATTAGAAGAATTAACAATGGACTTACAGAACTGCGGATTCCCATTCTTGAAAGTATGGTCTCCTATTGTCCTTTATTGAAAAAGCTCTTAAAAGAGTACTACTATTTGATATTTTATCTACATTTATTTTACTAGTTGTTTTGAAAAGCTCAGAAAATGTGTCTGCATTAACAACATTAACAGTATTATGACAGTACAGTATATCTGCTGCTATCAATTGCTAAGTTGTAATACTAACCGTATTTAAAAACTGTATTGACTGATGAAAATGGTCTGCTGCTATTTGATTTAGTTTTGTATGCAATGTATTTTGTGTATGTGATTCTTTTTTTGTTTATTTTCTGTTTGTCTTTATAATTGTACAAATATATATTTCAAAAAATTGGTCTGCGTCAAGTTTTGTTTCCTTTACATGATACTTCGATAGCACAGTTTAACAGGATCTCAACAACTGACGTAGACAGCATTTTGTTTTTCAGCTGGTGTTAGCTTGACTCTGCTGCTGGGCATTGCTGGTTTCTTATTGTATAGATATGGCTACATTCCTTGGAGAGACAAACAGCCGTGAGTACCTTTTATGACCTGCAGCAACAATATTGCTCAGAGTGTACAGCCAGTCAGCTTAGCTGTCCAAGATCAATTCAGAGAGGATAAATGTATAGCTTATTTTTTTGTATTAGGGTCCAAGGACTGAACTTTGTTTTTCATTTGTTCATCACACACAACACCAGGCTTGCTCTTGCACAGCTAGTTCGGCTGGATCGGGACTACCTTAACACCAACTGGGAAAACCAGAGGTGAGTCAGACTCAGTCAACCTGAGGACATTTTTAGGAGTTACGTGGTTTAATATTGTCACGACTTCCGCCGAAGTTGGTGCCTCTCCTTGTGCGGGCGGCTATCGGCGGTCGTCGTCACCGGCTTTCTAGCTGCCACCGATCTACGTTTCTGTTTTCCATTTGTTTTGTCTTGTTTGTACACATCTGGTTTTGTGCGTGTTTGTTCATTGTGTTGTGTCATACGCTTTTGTGAGCTGGTGTGTTTTCCCTGCGTGGAAATTAGTGTTTGTTTTTTTCCGAGTAAAGTACGTTGTTTACTCAGTTCTGTGTCCTGCGCCTGACAAATATGCTGAAGTGATTCACGATACATTACTAAATGTCAGTTATCAGGCCAGACAACATCTTAGAGCAGCAAGAAGTAACACGTACGTTTTTGGACTTCTCTCAGGGACAACGGAGATCCTGATGATCCAGCTGCTGAGGATGCTGAGTCTCTCCGATCTGTGCTTGTCGTTGGCAGGTTAGACAGCCTATCTATTGAACATAATATTTATGCTCCAACTATACTTCATGTTTTCCTCAATCTCTAATTGCATTTGCCACTCTGAACCATCAGGGACAATGGGGATGGGGTGGAAGAGGAGAGGGACCCAACACACGGTCAGGAGACACATGTTGAGTCCTCTCTACTGAATGGGCATCTTGTGAACAGGTAAACATTTCTCTGAGAGAGATCCTCATTACTTCATTTACCGATTGGATCTCACTATACTCTATACTCAGTCAGAGCTGGATCAGGCAGAGCTGATCCCATGAGTCTTTGCTCCCACAGGTTTAATAGAAAGACCAGTTTGTTTTACACATTATCCTTATTTTCTAATGCATGTAATATCTAATGAGCATGATAAATGCTAATGCATGTAAATAAATGTTTTATCAGTCAAGGCGAGAGGATCGTGCAGCCAATGGGCAGTGAGGGAACAGACACTGCATTCTCTCAGAAGAGACATGCTGGATTTACTCTGGTGAATGGAAACCATAAGGCCAGGTAAACTTTACCACATGATGAATACCTTGATAGCTCTTCATTGATGAATACCTTGATAGTCTGCCATTTTAAAGTGGAAATTACCAACTTTAGAAACCTTTTTATACCTTGAATACACTACAAGATTGCATTTCCTGCTGTGCAGGAAAATTCTCAGCAACAAAAGAGTGATCAAATTAAGATCCTTCATCTGTAATCTCACCATGGGTCATGTTAATAACCTTTTTCTTGTGGTGGATCAAAAGTGTTAACCCTGATGACCACCCTGTTATTGTTCCCACAGGGTTAACGGCCAGACTGATGACACACAACTTCTGGGTCAACCTCAGAGCAATGGACGCGTGACATATAGAAGGTGAGTGTTTATTTTTCAAACAATGTTCCATGTATAGCAGCACATACTACACATTTAGAGTTGCATGGAATGGTAGAGAAGGTTGAGTATGTGAGACCATGTTGCCTGATCCAGTATGTATTGATACATCTACTAATTAGATAATAACCTCAACAACCCTATCATCCCACGGTTCATGTTAGTCTCTGTCTCTATAGGGAACAGTGTTTTGGTGGATCATGAATGTGAATCTTGATGATGTCTTATTTCTCCAACAGGGTTAACGACGAGACTAAGGAACTGACTCCTGATGCACAGAGTCCAGGACCTCCTCAGATGAATGGAGGAGGACCTCTGCTGTCTGACAGGTGATTTTATAACTATTGCTAAAGTAACACTGTTCTAAGCTTTTGCTCCACTGTATTTTAATAATAACAATGTTTTGTTTCCTGATCCTGCCTGTCTTACTGTGTTCTGTGTCTAGGGTTGGAGAACAGCCCTGTGGGTCAGCAGATGAAGAAAACTGCTCTGGTGAACAAGCAGGACCAGGACTGGTCAACAATGGCGTGAAGCCAGTTGAAAATGTATAATATATATATATATTAGAACATATAACATGAAACTAAGTCTAAATATAATAAAATATAACATAATATACACTGTAATATAAAACAGTATAAGATAATAGGACATTATATAATATCGTAACACTTACTTGAAGCTGCTTCTTGTATAGTGTTGTATATTCTTATGAATGCATTCTTAACAACATGAATGATGCATTAATGCATTCACAGGACATAACTGTATACTAAAATGTAAGTATAATACTGCGCTGGTAAGCTGCTAGCTTTGGGGTTGCCCCCAGCTGTAGTTACTATTATTCAGAGTGCCCATGCTAAACTGTGGTTCAAATCCATTGCTTTTAGTTAGTTTAGTTGTTTCAGTAAACTAGCACTTCTTAGAGACAAAGTTATTCTGAAGTGTAAGTCAGGTTTTTATGTAACAATTGTTAATCCCTTTTTTTTGTGTGATATATTTGTTTGCTTTTATTTTATTGCTTTTTGATTGAATTAGTATTACTAATGCTTCAATGACCATTCATTATTTTACCCTCCCGTATAGAGGGATATTCTGTTAGTGACTAAAACATTTTCCATTATTTGTATCCAAAATATATGCAATTAAAAAATATATATTCCTTCTCATACCGCATGCTGTATTTTCTTCAAATATAAATGGAGCAGAGAGACACCCTTTAGGAGTGGAAGAGAATCTGCTGATCTCTAATATTCTACTTGATAAAGTATTGGCTTCGAAGAGAAAGGGAATGCAGAGAGGTGTGAAAGAGAGGACACTACTCTGTAGCAAACACTAACAAAGAGACGGAGAGACAGAGGGAAAAATAAAGGAGAATCATAGCCTACTATCACTACCTTGACACATACTGTATAATAAAGGAACACAGCTAAATCCAAACACTTGAGGGCAGTAAAGAACCAGGAAGAACCCAGTGACATCACCAGTGCTGGTTCAGTTTGAGTTTAATAGCTGACTCTCTATTATTACAGTGATGTTAGGTTCTGTGTGTGATGTGTACTACTCATGCCATCTCAGAGTGCCCAAAATGGCCACTAACATTGGCAAGGGCTATTTTAACCTTTCTGCTGAGATGGCCTCACCTCTGTGGCTGTGTGAGTGCTGGGGAGTGGAGGAGTGTATCTGGGGTGACACGGAGGCTGTGTAAATGATGCAGATTCCCCCTCTATCTGTCTACCTAGTAGGCCCTAGGCGTGTGATTGCGTGTGTCTGCTATTGTAACAGTGCTGAAGTGTGGGGTGACTGGGTGGTCAAGGCTGGAGAGCTCCCCCACAGGGACTACCACTGAGGGGGCACAGTATGGGTCGGGAGAGGGAGGAGTGTGTGTGTATCATACATGTACTATACTGTACGAAACACACATTTTGTATGAAACACACACATAGACACACACACACACACATACACACACCAAGCGGACAGAGCAAATGAGTAGAGGGACAGGATTGATGATGATGGTAGTAGGGAGCCATATAATTATGAATTAAGTCGCTCTGATGCACATAATAATAAGCTAAGAGCTAATTAGATGGCGATCAGATTCTACAATGGCCAGGATTATGAGCCATCAAGGAAGCAAAAGACACTCATCAAACACTGATGACACACTATCAGTAACAAGGAGCTTTCAAGGGAGGCTGGCTACTGTACTACAAACCCCTTCACTTTTTGATGTAGGGCCCTCACATCACAAATTATAAGTTAAGGGGAAGTGAACACTACAGAAACATTAATGCTTGTAGTTTGTTGTCGCCATGGCAAACTCACTAATGTAGTTTCACTTCCTGTGAATGGCTGGCTTTCTGCTATGAAACATCCAAAATGGTGGTTGTACAGTACTGTACCATCCTTCTATCCATGTGATCTGCAGTTGGCATTATCATATGGCCTACTAAGCCTACTGTATACCTAAGCAACTCTTTACATTTTTAAAGTAATCTGCCCAGCCCTGACTGAAACCACCATCCTCTGTTCTCAATGTCTGCCACTGGTGCTCAGCACCATTTGTTATGAACAACCGTTGATTTCTCTACATTAACTAACCCTCCCTTCCCTCTATTCAACATAGAATAACCTTGTTGGTTGTCTTCCAATCATGGTGGGCGTACAGGACCACTCGCTAACCAACCAACCCTGAGTGGGAGTGAGAGTATGACTCGTATAGAAACAACTTCTCCTTTCTCTCTCATTTTTTCTCATTTATTTTGCTTTTTTTGATTGTTCTGTTTGTTTGAAGGTCTTGGATAGAAGACAAGAAAAATAATCAATCCACCCACAGTTACATCTGCATGTGGTTGACAAGAGAGCTTACTCAGAGCAAGGCAGAGGCAGGGAGGGTTGAGTCTTGTACTCCTGTTGGTACGAGGCAGAGGTTTAATACACCACCATATTCAGATCCCATCACCCTGCGGGCCAAACCATGAATAAATCATCTCAAAGCATTAGCACTTAAAGACACCTTTTCATTTTAAGCTTAGAATGCACATAGAAAGATTGTAGAGAAACTCTAGTCAATTATTAACACAAAGTAGATCGATTTTGAATAGTTTTTTATTAATATGTGCTGATACAGGGTCGCGCTGACCTGCGATGACGCAAACGCTCACAGAAAACCACCATCCCCTTTGGCCCAGACAGACAGACAGCTGTCAAAGCAATGACGTGAGAAAATAATCACAAATCAGTCCTAAAAAAAAAAAAGAAACATAATCAAGGTTTTACATCAACCTCTCTTTAGAAAGGATTCAGCAGTACAGAATAAATTAATGGAGAAAAACCCATCATAGTAAAATCTAAGAGAAGTACTCTAAATGGAGTTCTACACATTATCATCACCCCAATGGCATCAGTACTCAGTCCTCAAAGTTCCTACTGATGATGAACATATCCCACCTCCCAAACTGAACCCTTCCATCCATACACACACCATCATAATACATTAT